AATGACAGGCTCCTTTGGCAGGGCCCACAAAAAGGGGGGCTCTGACCGGGCCGGGTAGGGAGAGGGCGGATATGATTTCTAGTTCGTTTCCTTCCATTGTCCTGAGACCGGACGGCTCCGCCAGCTGCTTCCCCTCGAGGAGGTGGGGAAAGCCCCGGGTGGGGGCCGAGAGACGCTCAGGAGACCTAGGCGTCCGGCCTCCCGCCCCAACTCTCTTCTGAGTCCTTTTAGGGATTCAGAGAGACTGACTCCCGCCCAAAGCCCGCTCGCTGTCCCCCAGTCCCAGCTCAATAGGTCCTCGAGCACCCGCCGGTCGGCTACGCTTTGAGGCTGGCGGGACGCCGGGGTCCAGCGCGGCAAGTAGGCGAAGCTCGGCAATGTCTGGCTCTTTCCACGAGGGGGCGGACGAGCACTAGCCTCGCCTCGCCCCGCCCCGTGGTTTCCACCCGGCTGGGGTTGTGCACAGACTAGGGTGCTGGATGGATTTGGTCTTGGCGGCTGAAACTTTGGGCTTCCTCCCCTTTGCGGTGGTTTATTTTGCACTTCTGCCTCTTAGAGGAGTTCTAGAAAAAGAGAGGTAGAGTTAGGGACCCGGGGACTTTCCGTCAGGCTGGGTTTCCTACGGAAGTGGGAAATCCAGGACTTTGGGAATGAGGGGAGTGGGTGAGACAAGGAGTGGGGCTTGAGCCTGGGGGCACAATGTTTCTTTTCTAATCAAGATATTCAAGATATCTAATCAAGATATTATTTTTAGTAAACACTAATAAGAAAATTGGGTAGGGTAAACCCAATTTACACTCAACAGAGAAGAGTGAGAGAGAGAAGGAGGGCTTGACAATTCTAATTTTAAAACTGCTCATCTGGGAGATCACACCCTCATATTTTGTTTGGGGAGACTTGGGGGGGGGGCAAGGCTTATTTGGAGAAGAGGGACCAGACCAGCTGCAAAAGAGGACCTCTTTGGATTTGGTCTCAGAAGGGTATACAGTTGACCAGGAATTATTAAGTATTTACCATGGAGCTGCATATCCAGGCCTAGAGCCTTCTGGTCAGATCTGAAGTTGTCTTTACTTGAGTGCATGAAAGAACAGCTAAGTGGGATTTGGGGATGACTAAGGACACAGAATGGTGAGGTGGCTTTGGCATATGAAGGTTACTTTGGTCTCTGTCCAGTCTGGTGGTGAGAATTAGGCTAGGGGCTCCCTTTGGTATCAGGATAGAATGTTATCTGGTCAGTTATGGGGTGCCATTTGTTAGTGGGTGTTGATTTGACTGTTACAGGCAATGGGGCTGTAACACTTTGGGTACATTTGGGTGAAGCTGGGGGATAGATCATTTGGTTGAGGGTCTATGGTATGTTTGAGGCTTGAGGATTCTGACACCTACAATTTGGAGTCCGTATCTATCTCTGTCATCTTGGATTATCAGAAAAGCCAGAATGCTCATGCTGATTTTGGGGTACAGTCTTTTGGGGTATAAGTGTCAAGACTCAGACTAAATTGTTGAGGACATGAAATTCAGTTTGGAGATTTTTTTTTTTAAATTACTTTGAGGAGGCACATAATAGGAAGCTGAGAGCAAGTTTGAAGGCTTTGTGTGGTTGGGTGGGGGTTTTGGGGGGTGTAAAGTTGTATATTTGAATCATGTGAAAACTTATTTTGAGGGGGAGGTTATTCTTGTGTATACATGGATAACTAGGAAACTTTGTCCAGGGGGAGCTATTATGTGAGGTCCCTCAGGATAGAAGATTAAATTTGGGGGGTATCCTTTTTTGGGGCTGTTTTGTTACACTTTGGGTACATTTGGGTGAAGCTGGGGGATAGATCATGAGGTGAGATTGATTTGGAGGTTCCTTTGATTTGGAGCACGTTTCTGAGTATCTTTCGCTTAGAGCTCCCTCTCACCCCAGATTCTAGAAATTTCTTTAGTGAACCCCTAAATAAGCACATGATTTGAAGGGAGAAATTTGGAAAGGCCATGATGCCTCCTGATGGACTTATTACTTTGTGGTCTGGATAGATCTGAGAGAGAAGAAGTGGTTTCAGACTCCAAACCCCAATGTATTTAGGGAAAACATTTAAGTTTGGGGGAAGATGGGGGAAAATGGGGTGTCTTTTAGTAAAGTGGACACCCCTGAGCAGGGCAGTGCTGTTGGAACTGTGGCAAGGAAAGGTGGCAGTGGGGGTGAAAGGAGGGGATTCCTGTACCCTGATTTTCTAAGATAACAGCCCCAAACAGAAAGCAGGCAGAGGACTGGAGTGTGGGTGAGCTGAGGGGGGAGGGGTTCCCAACGGCAGCAGGGGCTAGAGGGTGAGCCAGGCCAGCTCTTCCCGCCTGGGTCCCTGCTCTCTTCGGTTCTCCTCCCCTCTCTCCCTCCCATCGCCCACCCCCCCAACCCAAGGAAAAAAAAAAAAACTGCCTGTGCAACAGCAATGGCAGATTCCAATCCTCCAGGCTTTCCTAAACCACCACCGAGACCAGCCAGGGGGGAGGGGAAGGGAGGATCGGGCTTTCCTGCTTCCTTAAGACAGGAGCAATGAGCTTGACCTCCTGGCCCCTAGCCCTTTGAGGAGTGCCCCCCCTGGTCTGGAAGCCAGGTGTCCTGGACCCTAGCCCCCAAGCAGGGGGGGCCCTGGAGAGACGGGGAGGAGGAAGGAGGGAGTGACTTCCAAAATTGGCATCGGGACAGAGCAGGGCTGGCGGGAGGCAGGCGAAAGACGGAATTTTCCTGAAAAAACGGGGGTATCTAAGGACCCCAAATTTGGGGATCTAGTCCAGGACCGTCTTCCCAACATCCTAGATTTTTTTGGGATTTTTTGGGGGCCCCGGGACCCCTCTAGATGGGGTGAGGAATGTAGTGTTGGGGGAATCTGACTGGGGCATTGCAGCTGCCTCTCCCGCCGAGTTGGAGACGGATGGGCTGGGACGGGTTTTGGGGGGGTGTCCCCAATTTTGACTGGGAGTGGAGGAACCCCCTCCAGAGCTCTCTTGTGGGGGTCCCCCTCCCCAGGGCACTCCCCAGTCCCTGAGCCAGCCGAGAGGAAGGAGGCCAGCGATGCGACTGGGGCGGCTCCTTTCTCCTGCACCCCAAATGTAAGGGATGCACCCCAAAATTTGCTCCTTTCAAAATAGGGACCAGGATCTCAGGGGAGAGTAGCTGAGGTAAGTGGGGAGGAAAGTGTCCCCTGTTTTCAGGAGAGACGTGGCGGGTTGGGGGGGAGGTTTGGAGGTGCGTGTTGGGGTGGGGTTGGGCTTTGTCAGTCTTGGAATTGGGGGGATGATTGGAGAGTCTTTCTCTTATACCCCTAAACTGCAGCCCCCCAGATGGAGACTGAAGTCTGAGAGCAGAATGCTTCCCAACATCCCCAACCTTTAGAATAGTGTTTGATTTCTCTTTCACCCCCACAAAGACTCTGCCGAGGGTGGGAGCTGGGGATAGCTACTGTTTTGGGGCTCTGGGGGTGCAATGAGGAGCAGGGGGCCTTAGCAGTGTTTAATGTAGGACAGATAGGGGTCTCGGGGAGGGAGTCTGGCAACACAAGGGGCCTAAAAAAGACTACTTACTTACACCATCTTAGATCTTTTTGATTGTTAAAGAGTTTTGGGGGTGTGTCGGAAAGGGGGTTGGTAAAAGGTAGGATGGGATGTGGCAGGATAACATTGGGTTTTACAGGGTACTAATTTGATTTGCAGAAGGGATTTTGGCCCTTGGATTTTGCTTTCTGGGAGGTACTTTAAAAAATTAAGTCCTGGACAGGAGGAAAAGGCTAAGGGAAGGCCTAGGGTTGGGGGTGGGGAGAGGCATGTTTGTCTCAGCTTAAACGTGGCTCTCTGGGGTGGGCCCGCCTGCCTGGGCCTGGTGGATAGGCTGGTGGGTGGTGTTGTGGGGGTGGGGCATGGTCCTTGGAGGGCCATGGGGGACTGGGAGCAGCACTAGGGGTTGAATATCTGGCCTTCAGATCCAGATAGCCCCCTTCCTGGGCACTGCTGCTCCCCTTTCCCCCTGGCCTCCATTTCCTGCCTTTGGCCTCCATCTTGTGGCAGGCCCAGGGCCCAGGGCGACTTCCGGCCCCCCTCTCCCAACCATGTTCCGGCCCCACCACCTCTGGACTGCCAACTCCCAACCCTGCTGTCCTTGGCCCTCTGTCTCTCCTAGCGTTTCTCTTGGGTTCTGACCCAGGGAGGGGAGAAATGGACACAGGAAGCCTTGGGTCTCTGCCCTTGCTGAGTCAGGAGGCAGTTTGTTGGTCACCCCCCAGTCATTCCCTATTTCCTCTGCCCTTGATCCCACCCTAGGGATCCACTGAATTGAGTTCCTTCAGAGGGAAGATGGTTCCAGTCTTATTACATTGTGAACTCATCCCCTAGGCCTCTCTCCTTCCAGTTGCCTGCTCAACTCCTGTCCCTGGTTCCTGGTTTTCCCCAACCGTTTGTGGGGCCATGTTTGCCTTTTATGCCTTCTGTTTCCCTGCTCTTGGGTAGGGGGGACTTCATAGCACCATCTTGTGCTCTATTCCTCTCAACCCACCCGTCCTGCCCCCGCCCCAGCAGCACACTGTGGTTTGTACGGCACTGTGGCCACGTCCAAACCACACTGTGGTGTTAGAGCGAGGGTGGGGGAGGCACCGCTGAGGCCTGGCCCTGGAAGGCCACCCTGGAGAAGCGACACAAATATCTGGGGCCTTGTGGCAAAGTTCTTGTGAGGTGGGGAAGAAAAGGGTATGAAAGCACTGGAACAGCTCCTTTAAAATCTCTAGGATAGTCTCAGGAATACTGACCGCCAGCAACCCTGGGAGTAAGTCTGGATCCAGAGAGCAAAGTGGAGTCTTTGTTGCCCACACCCAGCTCCCCTGGCTCTAGCAGCACAGAAATATTGGCACTGGGAAGTGAGTCTGCCAGTATTGGCTGTGCTGCTCCAGGCAGGGTGGTGAGAACTACTGAGGAGGGGCCAAGCCCCTGAGGGCTAAGGAGAAGTGAAGGAACAGCAGCTGCCAGCACCATGCTGAGAGAGAATCTTTATTTTCTGTATAAAACTGTCCATCAGATGTAAGTCAGGGGTTGAGGGCAGATGATTATCAGGGACAGCCAGGTGACAGTCCTGGCAGCCTTCCTTCCCTCTCTCATGCAGGCCTTGTTCTGAGTCCCAGGTGATCCACAGGTCCAGGGCGAATAGCGAGAAGGTCAGAGGTGGAAGGCTCAGCAGGAGAGTAGAGGAGCATCAGCAGAGGTTGTGAGAAGGCCAGAATCCAGGGTCAGGCTGTCTGGAACAGGAAGTAAAATGGACAGAGATGGAGCAAGTCCCAAGTAGTTTCCAAGACAACTCCCACCTCTCCAAATACCCTGCTTCTTACTGACCCAGTCCCTGGCACTGTGAGAGCACCTTCCCTTCAAAGCCCCTGAACAAGGGAGATGCTCTTGCTGACACCCACCCCTGCCATCAGGTGAGCACTTCCCCCCAACCCCAGCCAGTGTGGGAGGAGGAAGACTCCTACCCTGGTCGAAGTTGAGTTTCTTGGCTGGAGGAGTTTCTCCTAGCCCTTCAATATCCACCAGGTCACTGTTGGCGTCGGAGTCATTCAGAGCACTGAGTGTCACATCTGGGAGGGGGCATAGGCTAGGTTCTAGGTTCCCTGACTTCTCCCCTCCCCAGTTTTCCAAAGCTTTGTGCTCTACCTCCCCCATTCTGGAAACCACCCTAGAGAAAGTGAGATCTATCCTTTGACCCAGGCCCAATTCTCTCACTGAACCTCAGATGGGACCTTTAACCTGTACCCTAGACAGCAACAACTCCACAGCCCTCACCAGCCTTCTGTTTCTTTATGGGGGGTCCCCCGGACTCTGGGATACTGGAACTGCTGGGTGGAGGGGCAGCTGGAGGAGGCGACAGGACACCAGATGCCACCTTCTTGGGCCCTTTTTTGGGTGATTCAGCTGGAAGGGGGATGCCAGAATCTTCATATACCTTTCGTTTTACAGTGGCCTTTATCTGAGCCCTGAAGAGAAGAGACAGCAGATTAGGGAAGGGGTCAGCAAGCTGAGGGAAAAGGGGAGGGCAGGGGTAATGGGTCACTCTGAAGGAATTCTGGGAGCCCTACATAAGAATCCAGGTTAGGGCCCCAGGCCTTTGGTAGGGCTCTCATTTTTGTGAAGCTCTGTACTCAATTAGGGAGATGGAGTGTGAAGAGTGGAGTCCCTGAACAGAGTAGCAGAAAGGCCCATTCCCTAATCTTCTGGGAGAGATGTATGGATGTGTAGTGCCACCAGGTAAGGCTTGGTGATTTAAAGGTAGACTGAGACTTACTAGTAGATCTGGATCAACTATTTCAGAATCACAATACCCCTGGAAAAATGAGAATCTCAAAAGATCTATATAAATCACCAGGGATTCCCATTATGAAATACAATAATTGAGTAGCTCAGGCACCCTAAAATAAAATTCTTGGAAGGTTCTGACTACCATGGCATTTTAGGAACTTTTGACCAACTGTGACAATTCTTATATTCTTTCAGTCCTCCAGGGAATGCTAACAAAACTAGCAACACAGTAGGAAAGATGCTGAACTGGGAGTTCTGAGGAAGAAGGAATAATGGGTAAGGAGGAAGAAAGCTGCCCACCCCCCCTTTTTCTGCCAGCCACCCTCCCTCACACTGTCCGTTCCTTGATGACACAGCTGATGTGATTAAGATCGTCCCCAAATCGCTTCACAGCAGCCCTCAGCATCTCTATCTCCGTCTCCGTCCACTTCGCACTGTCGGAAGGGGAGAGGTGGGGTAGCAAAAACGGGAGCAGAAGGGAGTGGATCCAGCCCACGGGCTGTGCATTCCACAGCCAATCAGCCTTCTGCCCCCAATCTCTGGGTCCCCTTCCAAGGACTAAAAGGGGTCCTACTTAAAAACAAACAAACAAAAAACCTCTGGGGACCCCGCCCCCACGACATGAAACTGCATCCACCGCCAGAACACCTTTCTCCTTCATCAATGTGCAACTGCTGCAGACGGCCCACTGACACCAACTCAACAAGTAGGGGTCTTACAACAGCACCCCTGAATATGGTCTGCAGCAGTCTGATGGAATTTTATATGATTTGGGGTGGGTGGTAGTGGTGGTGGTTTGGTCTGTCAGTTCGCAGCAAGGGACAACTGAAATTATGAGTCAGGTGGTGGACCTGTCTGTAACTTCATCTGTCATTCATTCAACAATCATTTATTAACACCTACTCTGCGCTGTGTCAGGCACAAAGGGAAACTAACATTTGCCCCCGCTCTAGAGAGGATCTGTGTCTGTGACAGAGTCCAAGCGTCCGCGCCCGGCGTCCACGTCCCAGCCTGGGCTCACGTACCCCGCGGGGGAAGAGTCGGCCACGGGATGCAACTGCATCGTCAGCTCTCCAAGTTTCGTGAAGGCGGCGCCGGCCGCAGAGAAGATCTCTCCGACCTGGGGGCGGGGCAGTATTACGGGGGGCCGGCGCACAGCCCCGGCGCGGTCCCGCCCGGAGACCCTAGCCCCACCCTAGATCGGCGCCCGCCCCCAGCCCCGCGCGAAAGAGCGGGAGCCAAGCAGGGGGCCCGCCCCTCCTGTGGCCGCCAGGGAGCGCTGTCCGCGAGGGAGGTCGAACCTTTGTGGACGCTGACGTCATGGCCCCGCGCACCTCCTCACGGAGACGCTCTGCCGCCGCCACCACGCGAGCTGGGACCACGGAAAGCCGGGCTACTAAGCCGCTCCGGCCCGGGAGCAGGAAGTCCCACCCTCCCTGTAGCTGATTGGCTCAAACCCTGCCTCTCTCCGCCCTACCAACCGCAGTCGCTTAGGCGGCCCGGGCGCTCGGGGGAAGGAGAGTTGGGAGACGTCGCCTCACTTCCGGCCGGCTTCACTACACTTCCTTGGAGTGGTCGGGTCTCTGCAGTTACAGGCCGACCTCCAGCCTTGGCCCGGCCCGCCCCGTCACTCAAGCACAGACGCGAAGCTTAAGAGAGCAGTTTCTCTTTATTGTGATACGGTCAAGCCGAGGGGCTGGACGCCAGAGCTTGGAGAACCAGGGCTGCAGACTCTCGCCAGGGGGACCCAGTTTTCCAGAGGATACCAGAATGGGTGGGAGGAGACCTGGGATAGGGAGTCTTTAAATAGAGGGAACTGGAGAGGGGAAATTGGACCGTCCTCTAGCGCACCATGTATTCCTTGCGCTTATTGAGCCGAACTTGGCAGAAAGAGAAGCCTCCGAGGAGGAGGTAGAGGCCCGCGGCGATGAAACAGTTGTAGCTGACTTGCTCGTAAAGGTTGTAAATTTTCTGAGGGCCATTCCTGAGGGAGGGGATTAAGCAGAGAAGTGTCAGTCATTAAGAAAATCCAACAGTTACCGGGCATTTAGTATGTGTGAGGCACCGTCCCAAGACCTTTTATGTATATTATCTTATTCAGTCTTCTGGATTAAAGGATTTATTCCATTATAATACCCCCTTTGCAAGATGAACCGAGGCACAGAAAGGTGAAGTAACTAAAGAAGCCGCACCTAAACTGGTGGGTTTTAGGAGAGACGCTGAAGCCCGATTTCCGAGACCCCTCCTAAATACATTCCATTTTTCTTTTATGGTGCTAGGGATTGAACCCAGCACCATAAAAGAAAGCGCGTAAAGCGGTATTCTACCACGGAGTTACAATCCCCAGCCTCTAACCACATTCTAAATAGAGAAACTCTCCTTTACCAGTACTCCCTCAGGGTCCTAAACATCCAGCCTCCGGCAATTTCCCGCTTACAATTCTGACCCTAGGTCCAGCCACTTTTCACCTGCACCCGGCTCCCCACTACCCCAAACCACTTACTCAAAATCTTTCTCCGTGACGGGAACGTCCTCAATTAACACAGCGGAATGGACGTTAAAAAATATTCCAAGCATTATCTGAAAAAAAGGGAATATGTAAGTTGTTGAACTCAGGCAACTGTTGCTGGTCACTCCCTAAATCCCTTTCATTTCTAATGTTGACCCAACACCTGTGCCTGGGATTAACCAGAACGAGCTAGTAGTATGAGTGGCTGTAGCTGGATTCGACCTCAGCCACCTGCAACAGGGCGAGAAGTGGGGACACTGAGACGAAAGGCTGGGACAAGGGCGGGAATAGTTAGCAACTCGACTCTCCCAGGAACCCAGACTATACTTCTCAGAGGCGTCATTATCACGGGACAGGGCGGAAGAAGTGAGGGAGAACAGGCACTCCATATTATTTATGGAAGTCGCCGCGGATAAAGTCAAGGGGGAGGGGAAGGCCTCAGTTACCTATTTCAGGAAGAGGCACTCCCTTTCCCCTCTTAGTATCCATCCAACTAATGCATCTCTGAAGACCCCAGCTCCTCTTTTTCTTACCATAATGGGTCCGCAAATTTACCAGCCCTGGCTCCCATTCCAGGCTCTAGCCCCAGCACCTTCTCGCTCTAATTCCCTATTTTCTAATCTCAATTCTGTCTCATTCTCCAGCAACCAGTTATCCCAACAGCCCCTCTAGCCTGCCTGCTGCCTTTTAAGACCTGGGGTTTCCTGGCCTTCCAGCCCTCCAACCCGGGAGCTCCTCGGGCCCGCTCCGACTTCCGTCGGGATGTCCCCTCACCAACATGATCACTCCCCAGGCGCTGAGGACGATGCCGCAGGCGGCCAGCTTGGGCCCACAGCACAAGAGCGATGCCATGAAGAAGGGAACCAGGGATTGCTTGAGTGTGAGGGAACCTGATGAGAAGAAACCCTGGACGCTCCGGAGTCCAGAGAGCTGGATTTGGGAGCTAGAGCCGCGGAGCGCGGAGGAGAGGGCGTGGCCTCAGGCCCCAACCATCATTCTGGGGGGCGGCAGCGGAGAAGTTGGCGCCCTGGGGCCCTTCAGAAACTTCGGTGGGAGGAGGTGGTGTCCGAGACGGAAGCAGAGCATCCAGAGGCGCTTTTTAATCTGTGTGGCTAGGGTTTGAGTATACAAGAGCGAGGGCTTAGGGTTTCTTGGTCTCCCTCACACCCCCGCATCTGAATGGAAGTAGCTGACACATCACGTGATCAGACTGACGGGTCACGTGACGAGGAACTAGCCGTAACCTTTCGGAAATGCCTAATTCTGGCAGGATCCTGGTAACTTGGGTAACGGGCTGTTAGGATGAGAAGCTTGGACTCCTCTCGTTTCCCCCTAAGACACTTTAGTCTGGGGCGGTCTCTGTGATGCGGAAATAGTAAGTGAGACGTAGAGATTTCTTCCGGAGAGCGCGCGTGTCTATCGCTTTTGTACTCCCCTCTCCCTTTAAAAATGGTTGTTCTGACACAGTGAAAGGAGATAGGAGCCCTCCTGGAGGCCAAAACATGCTGTTGTGGCAAGAACACTTTAAAATTGCTGAGAGTTCTTGGCATTAGAGATGGTTCTCTTAAACAACAAAGCTTGGGATACTGTATGGTTTTTATCATCTCTCTTGGAAAACTGTATACTTTTGGATGCTGAAACCGGGAAAATCTGGGGTTAGAGAAAGTCCAGGGAAAGCAGATTCGATGAGCAAGTTGTGAAGGTGAGTAATCCTGCTACAGGTATTGCAGAAAGTAAGTACACAAAAATGTCACTTTGCTGCCCTGTTTACTAGAGAAAGTGATTGTAGGCCCTTTGAGTAAAGTACTACAAGATTTAAAAATATGAGTAGATTGCCCTCTCCCAACTCCAGAATGTTTCTGTATTTCACTAGAGCGATGCAGATTTGTAATTATCATTCAGGAACATAGGGATGTTTGAAGAATGCTTATTTTTTGGGTGCCTGGGTTTGAACACATATTTTTGTTCAAAATTGTTCAAAAATGTGTTAACATATGACAAAGAACACATTTTTGCATTAAGTTTGTTGTATCCATTCTACACAGAGCACAGAATAATTGAGAGAGATCATTTTGATGCTGAGACTCCAGAACCAAAGAAACACTGTCATAGGCTAGAATAACTTTGTGGTATTTCCCCATTTATTTTGTGCATAGTATTATCAAAATTGTTGTGAAAGAGAACTTGGATCCTGGGAAACATAAAGAGATCACTGGGTATTAAAGGACCTAAAAAGTGGCCTTGAAATATGAGTTTTGTATATCTTTTGTTTGGGACTGTCTGGAAAAGGAAGTCATTTGGGGGCAAAGATTTTTTATTCTGGGCTATTCAGGGAAGTTTGGGGTACATGTCTAAATAGTGGAGTCAGGGTGAAGGGAAAATTGTCAATGAACTGTCAGCAATCTGTGAGTTGGCCACCAAGCATGAAGTCTAATTCCTGGAAAGGAGAATTAACAGAGGTAGTGAATTTCTTCAGTAAATCTCCTCTTTCTATCCCCAAACATGCTCTTGGATGTTTTGGAAGAAAGGTCAGGGGCTTAGGCTAGTATACTGTATAAGGACCAAGTCCAGTCTGTGGTCTCTGCATGTCTCTCAAGCAAAGTACTTTTTTTTTGTATTTTTAAATAGTCAAAAACCCAAACTAATATTTTGTGATAATGGAAGTTCATACCTAAGTGATCATAAATGAATTTTTATTGGAACATACTTAAAATAATTTACTGACATACATCATCTGTGCCTGCTTTCGTGCTACAGTGGGAGAGCTGAGTAATTGTGGCAGGGACTCTGAGGCCTAAATATTGCCTGGCTCTTAAATTTAGTGCTCTCTGGGCTAGTGGTATACTGATAGAAGGTTTAGTTGAGGGGGGAATCAGAGCCTTAGCAACAGAGACTTAGGAAAACATTATATTCAAGATGGACATGGCAGTCTTAAAGCTGATGTGACATCTTTCAGGTGGGGGCACCTTAGGTCTCAGATAGTGACACTGTTCTCTATGCGGCTTGGCTTCAGGTATTCATAAGGCAGGTCAAGTTGCTCATTCCGAGCTGTAATCTCATTTTCCAGGTTTTCCAGATCTGTTTGGAATTGGCTTAACACAGCTTTAGCCTGGGGGTCTGAGAAATATTCTTCTTTGTGATGCCCCAGAGGTACCTAAGATGGAACAAAGGATTAGTTTCTAGTCTGAAGACAGAAGCACCTAGAGCCCATTCCCTAACTCTGATTTTCCTTTCCAACTGTAGTTTTCCTCTCCGGAGGGTTCCCTTCTCACCATGTCTGGCTGGCGGCGTCCCAGATGCCATGTGATGGTCATTTGAAGACAGGACTGCCGGATATCAGGTAGTGACCCCATCACTGTGGCCAATGTCACATCTTCCTTGGTGGTGGGTGGGGGCATCCGCATTGTGCAAGGGGCGTTAGGGACCCAGGCATACCAGTCCAGCTGGGGGAAGAAACTGTAACCCTAGACCCCTGGCACTTAGGGCTTGAATCCCTCTCTCACCCTTCGATCTCCCAAGGTCCAGACACTTGCCTTCAGGGACCTGGGCTTTCAGCTATCCATACCTGGCCCTGGTTGATGGCCCCATGCTGGGCAGTGCATGTGAAGACACACATGGTAAGGAAATGGCAGAGTTGAGCCTGGGACTGGAGAGAGATAGGGAAACCTGGGCAGAAAAGGAACAGGATTTAGAGGCTTCAGTATAATAGGAAAGAAATAAAGGCTGATGCCTTAGTAGGTCTGTATTTTAGAATTGATAGGTGTTTGTTTATTTACTTAGGTATGTTTGTGTCAGACATGGATTTCTAGGAAGAGTTTGAGAAAGGCTATTTCTTTCTTGGAGATGAAAGTGTAGTGCGTGTGTGTGTGTGTGTGCACACACACACACATGCATAGAGGAGTTGAGATAAACTAAGGTACTGTCTAGAGAGAGGACAAGATTGACCAATGAACCTGAGTCCCAAAGATCAGGGAACTAACTTCAGGTTTAAGCCACAACATATATAGTATTGAGGTTACATCTGGAAATGACCTTGCACTTTGGCAAGTATGAAAATACCTGGCTCTTCTGCATGGTGGATAATAGCAGATAGGAAAAAGGAAGAGAGCCAGGTTGGGTTATTATAGGCTTTAGTGGTAAACTTTTCCTATTTATATCTTCAGGCAGTACCTGAATGGGGATACCACAAAGATAACATGTGAGTCCCAGCATGGACAGAACCCCTCACTGGCTCTGCCCTGGTTGGTTCCTAGGCCGTGGCAGGGCATCTATGACTGAGGTGGGGACAGGAGTAGGGGTTGATGGCCAGGGTCTCTGAGAAGGACAGTCCATGGGTATCTAGAATTTCCCTGAGTCTTAAGATGTGTGACTGGAATTTGGGTACTTTTGTGTGTGGAGGGAGGGATATGATACTGGGTTGGGGTTCTGTCTCAGAGGGACAGGGCTGGGAAAGGGCTCTTGCAGTGTCTGAGGAGCTCCTGTCTTTGAGATGGATCTTACCTCTGTTCTGGGCCTGGCATAGCCCCACCTCTGTGATCTCTCGACACCAGGCCTGCAGCTCAGGGTCCCCCCTAATGATGTCATCCCTCTGGTAGAAGAGGTGGACGATCCCTTCCACATACCTGCTCAGAGAAGGGAGCTTAGCTCTCTCATGGCAGAGAGCTCCAGTCTCTGACCTCTATTCCTCTAGCTGTGGCCTCAGATCAACTGACTGTCCCTGTACCTGAACAGATCCTATCTTACTTACTTTGGGATATTCTCCAGGGTTTAGTTTAAAAAAAATTTTTTGAGGTGCTGGGGATGGAAGTAGGGCCTCAGATAGGCTTGGCAAGTGCTCTACCACTGAGCTATACCCACAGTCCTCCCCAGGTTTTTGACATACTAGCATAAAGGAAGGAGATGTAGTTTACTAGTTCTAGGTATCCTCTGTGTATGGCTGCTATCTATTATTCCTAGTAAAACCCTGATTCTTCCAGATCCCTCAGTCTCTACACTCACAGCTCTCCTCACCTGTGTACTGCACCCCTATCTCTTCATTTTTAGACCTCACCATCTCTTCATTCTTCCTTTTCTCTCTCTCCCAGCTTTTGCCCCATGCTGACCTGAAGCCAGAGCCCTACCTTCCCTCTCCCACCCATTTTTCAGCTCCTTCTACCTACCGGGCAATGATCTCCCAAAGCTGTAAAGCATCATGGGCATAGAGGGCACTTGGGATTCCCAGCAGGCCCCGGTCAGCCAGGTCATCAGGAGGACAGAGGGAACAGTAGGTCAGCTGAGCCATTGCCCGGTGGAGCAATTGCACATGGCCCCCTCCACCTGTGTTTGCTGCCTGGGATAAGAATTGACAGGGCTTGAGGGATGGAAGCAGAACCAGAGAATGATAGCCTGTTATGCAAGAAGTTCAAGATGGGGTTTATAAATTTAAAGACATGTATATAAAAGGACAGGACTTACAGGTTAAGGGTCAGGACATTCTCATATGTCATCTGGGATGCTGAAAATGGCAGAAGATTGCAGAGAGCTGGGTGATTAGGCAGCTCCGTACTTATTCCTTCCTTACCTGATCAAATAGTCCTCCATCTGAAATGAGCTGGGTTCGGGCCCGGGTGTTGATTTCCAAAGTATAGCGGATATGGGGGACCAGGAGCTGGAGTGGAGGACATTGGAGGTTAGTTAATGGAAGCTATGTTTGGGTCCTTCATTGTAGGGCCTGGCACCCAACATGGTGGTCTGCTCCCTTATTGATGCTTTCATCCCTCTTGTTTCCTTGGTCTGTTTATCTGATCAGTCTCATGTTCTCTAACTTCCTTGTGAGTCAGGCTCTGGAGCCACTTTGCCTTTGATACTAGGCCAAGTTTATACCCTCTCATCTTCAATCTCCTCATCTGTCAGTAGGGGGCAATAATAGGATCTCTTATCTCAGGGAGCTTTGGTGACGTCTGTGATTATGTGAGTGATGTGTGAAGAGTTGATAGAACATCCAGAAATTCTCCAATAATAACTGTTATCATTCTCTTTATTATTCCTACCTTGATTATAGGTATTCCTTATGAATCAGATCCTTTTGACTTTCTTTTATATTCTACAAATCATATCCTCATACCTTAAACTAGCCTCTCTACATCTCTTTGTCATGTCACTGTTGGTTTTGTTTTGTGGGCAGTTTGAGCAAGTAGTTTCAGTCAGAATAGAGGGGCTACATTGATCTACCTGCTTAAAGGAGCAGAGGGGCTGCTGTCAAATCTGTCCCCATTGCCACCTGGACACTGTTCAGCTACCTCTTTCCTGCTTTTCCTTGCCTATTGAAATAGGTTACCTGAGGTGCTGGGATTGTAGCTCAGTGGTAGAATGCTTGCCTAGCATGAGGCACTGGGTTGGATCTGAGGATCAGACCACATAAAAATAAATAAATAAAATAAAAGCATTATGTCTATCTACAACTAAAAAAAAAAAAAAAAAGGCTACCTGAACCTGGGGCCTGCCTTTAACCTCAGCAACTTGGAAGGCTTGAAAAGCATTACAAATTTGAGGTCAGCCTTAGCAACTTAGTGTGAGACCCTATCTCAAAATAAAAAATTAAAAAGGCTGCGGATGTAGCTCAGTGGTAACCCTGCCCCCCACAAAAATAAATACTTGATCCTCACACATGTTTCTTTGTACCTTAGACTTATTTATCTTCCTTTCTACCCAATTAATTTGCAGGTTTCATCCAATTTTGGTGTTTATCTGAATTGTTGATGCTGGATGCAGGAGAAACCCAAGTGATCATTTTGTTATTAAGGTATCAAAGCAGCTTACGTTAGAATGAAACTTTTCAGAAAGTTCATGAAAGATGCTGAATGTCATGGAAGGCCCAAAGTCCACATGAGGAGAGAAGATGCCTGAGACAAACAACTCCTAATAATAATAAATGTAAGAACTAATTTTTTTTTGGAGCATGTAGTACATGTTACATGATTGTTTTATGCCATTTTATCCTTTAACAACACCATGAGGGACATCCTGTTATTCTCATTTAAATATGTAGACATTGGTAAGTACTGAAGCCAGGATTCAGGATTGAGACCCTAGCCATCAAAAGGTGGCCATTTTGATGATTGCAGGCTTCACCCTCCTATGTACCCTGTAACAACTCAGCTATTTGCCATGGGAAGAAATTGTTAATGGTGAGTGATGACAATGTAGGACTGAGCTAGAGAGGAGAATTCTAAGTCTGAATTGAGGTTTCACTTAATAATATTGAGCAGAAGATGATGATGCAGGAGGCATCATGTGACAAATAAATTCCAAGATCCTTTTAAACATACTGGTCTCTTTCTTGTCTATTTTCCAAAGAGGTGACCTTCATGGTTCACAGCTATATTGGCCAAGGTTGGGAGGTCCAGATGGATGTCTTCAGCTGAAATAGTTCAGTTGTTCTCCATACCAAGTGCTTACTTGCATATCTTGCCAATACTTCAAACTCCTTGTTGCTTAAATCAAATATCTCATTTTACCCCCAAACTAGCTTCTTTCAACTTTTCTATTACTCTGGTTCAAAGTTTCTGTCATTTTGTGCCCTTCTCTGCCATGTTCCTTATCTGAAAGTGTCATTGAGATTTTGAGAACATTTTCAAAGCAAGAATAAGTCTTACTTAGCTGTCTTCTGCCTAGCAGTAAACACTACATTGTTTCATAAAATTATAGTATTTCTAGGTCAGTACAGCACATGGCACAAACTATGGGCTCCTATGTGTCACAGAAGCTTGGACTTGTGATTTTTCTCTCTCCAGTCTTGCACCTGGACATGCTACAACTTTTCTGTTTCCTTTATTTACCATGTTTTTGATTTTTCATTTTCACTCCTGTGTAATGACGCCACTAGTGCACATCTTTACTGCCTTACTCTTGGGCTTATCTCCTTGTATTCTGATCTTTTGCTACTTAGCTGACTACTCTCTTGGGGTGGAACATTCTCCATCAGTTCTATACTGTTTATAGGTTGTCTCTTGTGATTTCAAACTTTAATTCCAGAAATTGTTCTTGGTTGGTTCTTGGGGGCTTCTTCCTGACAAAATATTAAGTCTCCTAAGGTAGGAATAAAGCCTTTGTATTACTCCAAAGTATAAATAAGACTTTTTTTTTTTTTAACTAATGATATTCCATCTATACTGCAAGCTGATTCCTAGGCTGTTAGATCTTTGACAGTTTCAGAGAGCTCCCTTATAACGTGTCTGAAGAAGTTAGGTAAGAGTAGAGCCTGTACCTTGAAAACAGGGTGCAATTCTGGGAGGCACCTCATAGTAGCAACAGCGATGACCTCAGCCACCAAATGAGTGTTCAGCAAATGATACTGGAGCTGGTGCAGTTGGAAATCTGAATTTCGGACCCAGGACTTGGCCAGGAGCCAGGCAAGTGGAGGATCTGATGGCAGGAACAGTGTTGGGGTTGGGAAGCTGGGATTGGGAGGTTGAATCTGGAAGAAAGAAAAAATTGAGTATTTATTGAACTATCAACTTTGTATGACACGATCAGCATTTCTGAGGAAACAGGTGACTAAGCAAGACTGTTGCCTTCTAGAGGGTTATAATGTAGTAGGAGGAATAAGAATCCTTCCTCTCCTCACTGGCTATGATTTTGTGGTCTTGTTGAATGCAGGAGAAACTGGAAGCAGGGAGTCCAGTAAGGAGGTTCTAGCAGTTTTTTAGGAGAAATAGGATGGGAGTCAGAGCTCAGGTGGCAGAGAGGGAAGCAGAAGTTGGATGCGTACAATTGTTGACAATGATAATAATAACTGATTGTTTGATGGGAATAGTGAGAAAAAGGGTTATCCAAGAGAATAGATATTCAGAATTAGAGGATGCTTAGAGATTAAATAATAGTTCAAAAAGTGTGTTCTGAGATGCAGAATCAGCATTACTTTGGAACTTGTAATGAATGAATATTCTCTGTGCCCACCCCCAGACACTAAATCAGAAAGTCTAGTGGTGGCATTGAAGACCCTGTGTTTTAACAAACACTTGAGGTGATTCGGAAGCATACTAATGTTTGACAACTGCTAGGTATAGGATGAGGATTCGAAGAGGCCATTATGATTCTTGAATAAGTATTTCCATTAGGTACATTGGGAAGACCCGGCTGTGAGCTGTGACATGAAGATAGGTCTTGGTGTGGATGGGATTTAAGAGGCCAAAGTTAAGGGATTAGGTCCTTAGGAGTAAAGGTTGATGTGAACAGAGAAGTGGGAATGAGATGCTCAGGGGGCCTCACCTGGATGACCATGGGTAACAGCTTCCCATTGGGTTCCATCTTCAGCATGACAAGGGGGGCAGCCAGATACTGCTTCTCTCCTTTGATCACATTGGCTGGAATTCCATCCAGCAGGATAAAGTCAGCCTCAAATAGGGAACCATTCTGGAGAAAAGAGGAATGTATCCATTGCAGAGTTCAAAATCTATTCATAAAGAGAATCAATCTGACAAAAGAAGTAAAAGACCTCTACAATGAAAACTACAGAACACTAAAGAAAGAAATTGAAGAAGACCTTAGAAGATGGAAAGATCTCCCATGTCCTTGGATAGGGAGAATTAATATTGTCAAAATGACCATACTGCCAAAAATGCTATACAGATTTAACGCAATTCCTATTAAAATTCCAGTGACATTCTTCATAGAATAGAAAAAGCAATCATGAAATTCACTTGGAAAAATCAGAGGCTCCAAATAGCCAAAGCAATCCTTAGTGAGAAAAACAAAGCAGAAGGCATCACAATATCAGACCTTAAGTTATACTACAGAGCTATAGTAACAAAAATGGCATGGTATGGGCACCAAAACAGACATGAAAACCAATGGAACAGAATAGGAGACACAGATACAAACCCATATAAATAAAGTTATTTCATATTAGACAAAGGCACCATCAACATACATTGGAGAAATGACAGCCTATTCAACAAATGGTGCCGGGAACGCTGGAAATCCATATGTAGTAGAATGAAATTTAACCCATCTCTCACCCTGCACAAAACTCAAAAGAGGATCAAGGACCTAGGCTTTAGACCAGAAACTCTGAACCTCCTAGAAGAAAGTGTAGGCCCAACTCTTCATCATGTCAGCTCAAGAACCAAATTCCTCAACAAAACTCCTAAAGTGCAAGAAGTAAAATCTAAAATAACTAAATGGGATGGTATCAAACTAAAAAGCTTCACAGCAAAAGAAATAATCAAGAACGTGAAGAGAGAGCCAACAGAATGGGAGAAAATCATTGCTACTTGCACCTCAGATAAAGCATTACTCTCCAGGATATACAAAGAACTCAAAAAACTTAACACCAAAACAGACAAACAAACAAATAACCCAGTCAATAAATGAGCAAAGAAACTGAACAGGCACTTCACAGAAGAAGAAATATGAATGGTCAACAAATTTATGAAAAAATGTTCAACATCACTAGTAATTATAAAAATACCAATTAAAACTACAGTGAGATTCCATCTCACTACAGTCATAATGGAAATTATCAAGAATATAACAGTAAATGCTGGTGAGGATGTGGGGACAAAGGAACACAAATTGGATCAACCACTCTGGAAAGCAGTATAGAGATTCCTCAGAAAACTTGGAATGGAGCCACCATTTGACCCAGTTATCCCATTCCTTGGTTTGTAACCAAAGGATGTAAAATCAGTATACTGCAGTGACACAGTCACATCAGTTTATAGTGCTCAATTCACCATAGCTAAGCTATGGAACGAACATAGGTGCCCTTCAACAGGTGAGTGGAAAAAGAAAATGTGGTGTATATATACATAGTGGAATATTACTCAGCCATAAAAAGAATGATGTTATGACTTTTGCCTTTAAATGGATGGGTCTGGAGACTATCATGCTAAGTGAAATAAGCCAGGCTGAATGTTCTCTCTGATATGTGAATGCTAATACACAATAAGTGAGGTAGGGAAGAATAGAAGTTCAGTGGATTAGACAAGGGGGGATGAAGGGAAGGAAGGAGGATGGAAATAGGAAAAACAGCAGACTGAATAGGACATAACTTTCGTATGTTCACATATGAATATACCACCAGTGAAATGAGATACTAATTAGAATAAGTTATATTCCATATATGTATAACATCAAAATACACTGTACTATCATGTATGTCTAAAAAGAACAAATAAAAAAATTATGTCCCTAAAGGGTCAGGGCAAAGGGCAAAACATTTGAAGACATTCAGTCCAGCTTAGCATCCTGCATCAGTTCCAGAGCCCTATTGGCAGAGCCCTACTGGTCCAATTCCTCTCATTTTAAAGTGAAGAAACAGCCTAGTGAGGGTAGATGTCTTGTGCAGGGATATGTAGTAGCAGATCTGGGTTCAGAACTAGGCCCATTTAATCCAGTGGCATAGGTGTTATCAACTGATCCCTTGTCCAGGTGGCCAGACCCCTACTCTGTCATCCCCTAATGGTCTGTTCTCTGCTTTTGGCTCCCATCAGCTCAGCCATCCCTCTTCCACTCCCTATATAAATCTTACCTCCTCTGCCAAATATTCCACAGAGCTTCCCCTGGCTCCCACTACCACTGAATACAGCATACAGGCGTGCATTTACACAAGATTCTGTCTGGACTCGGCCTCCTCATGTTCAGTTCATCTGTCCCAAATTCATCTCCTCCCTCACTCCCCAGAAAACCTTCCTGAATTTCTCCATCTGTTGGCACAGACTTTTTCTTTTCATTTTCTTTTTTTTGTGCCCATGAATACTGGAGTCCAGGACACTGACATCAGCCAGGAATGTCATAGTTCCTCCTAACATCTTTGGCCCCCATCTGTGCCCTGAGGTGCCTCCTATTTCTCTGTTTATGCTGAGAGTTCTTAAAAGTTTTTCCCCCAATACTTGGTCATTTCTAGACTTTTTTTTTTTCCAACCCCTGAG